TGGGCGGCTCGGCGCTGCAGGAGCTGCAGGAGTACGTCCTCTTCCCGCTGCGCTTCGCCCTGAAGGGGCCGGGGCCCAGGCGGGAGCGCCTGGTGCAGAGCGTGGTGCAGTGCCTGTCCTCTGTCCTGGCCGCCACACGAGTGAGGAAGCCGGAGCTCCTGCGGGAGCTGTTCTCCGAGCTCTGTACGTGCCTCTCCCCCCCGTCCGGCCCGGGGAAACCGGCCTGGCTGTCGGAGGACTTAAAGCTGACTGTGATCCAGGCGCTCCACACCTTGATGCATTCGGCTGACGGGGATGTTATCCTGTCTCTCTATCAGCCTTCCACCCTTCCTCTCTTAGGATTCGCTGTGTCTGTGCTGCTGGGCCTAGCAGAGCAAGAAAAAGCAAAGCAAATTAAGATCTCAGCTTTGAAGTGCTTACAGGTCCTAGTTCTGCAGTGTGACTGCCAGCAGCACCAGTGCCTAGATGAAGACGAGGTGCAGCAATGTGGGGATTTGTTTGCTTCTTTTCTGCCTGGGATTTCCATTACGCTGTCTCGGGTTATTACCGGAGACATCAAACAAGGTCACAAAACCACTGTTTCTGCCATCAGACTCTTTTATCTGCTTGTTGGCTCGGTGATGGCTGACGCACAGCTAGCCAGAATCCCAAAGAATAAAGAAAAGCTGCCAGTGGAGCAAGGCAGAATATCAGAACTAATGGTCCACAGAGGACCTGACTGGAGCAAAAGTACTGCCGAAAAACTGTGTCTCCTCCTGCACAAAATAGTTGAGTTTTCTTCAGTTCACCCCCACTGGAAAGTGAGGCTGGAGCTGGTGGAGCTGGTCCAGCACTTGCTGAGGAGCTGCAGTCAGTCGCTGGTGGACTCGTTCAGCCATCTGTTAAAGGCCTTGGTTGGGCTGGTGAGCGATGAGAACGGCGAAGTCCAGAGCAGGTGTAACGAGGTCCTGCAAGGCATTGCAGAGCACAGGATCGTCACCCAGAACAGGGCTCTGGCCGACGTCCTCTCCGAGAACCTCCACTCCCTTGCCACAGCTCTGCCTCGCCTGATGAACTCTCAGGATGACGCGGGCAAGGTCTCCACTCTGAGCTTGTTGCTCGGCTACCTGAAGCTGCTGGGCCCCAGGATTAACATCGTCCTCAACTCCACGTCCCACCTCCACCGCCTGTCCAAAGCGCTGATGCAGGTCCTGGAGCTGGACGTGACGGATGTGAAGATCGTGGAGGAGAGACGCTGGGGCTGTGAGGGCGCCTGCGGGCCCGCGGGCGCCGTGCAGCACGGAGCGCTGAGGGGCAGATGTCAGAGGAAATACTTCCGCTTCTTCGCGGGGGAGAAAGTTTTCCAGCTCCTTCAGCAAGTTTGCCGTGTTCTCGGCTACTACGGGAACCTCTACCTGCTCGTGGATCATTTCATGGGGCTGTACGGCGAGTCTGGCGCGTACCGAAAGCAGGCAGCGATGGTCCTCAACGAGCTGATTGCGGGAGCTGCTGGACTGGGGGTGGACGTCCTTTGGGAGCGGGAATGTTCGCTGAACATGGATGATCTCAAAGGGTCCGTCGTGTCCATTCTCGATGAGTACACAGACCAGGCCAACTGGTATTTGGTCACGAGCATCGATACAGAAGAAGTCAGCCAGGAGCGCTCTGTGCAACACTCGGGACTCGCTGCCCAGCCAGGAGGCGCGCCTCCTCCCGTCCCCAGAGCCGCACGTAACGGCCCGCACCATGAACAGCAACATCTGGCAGATCTGCATCCAGCTGGAAGGCATCGCCTGCTTCGCCGCTGTCCTCAAGAAGGAATTCCGGTTGCTCCTGCTGTCAGCTCTGTACCCGGTGCTGGAGAAGGCTGGGGACCAGACCCTGCTCATCAGTGAGACAGCGCTGGGGACGCTGGCCGGCATTTGCGAGGCCTGCAGCTACGACTCCGTGCAGTGTCTGATTAACGAGAATTCTGACTACCTGGTGAACGGGATCTCCCTGAACCTGCGGCAACTGGCACACCAGCCTCACGCTTCCCAGGTCCTGGACACGATGCTGAGGCACTCGGATGCCAGCTTGCTGCCGCTGGTAGAGGATGTGATCCAAGACGTCCTGTCCACGCTAGATCAGTGTTACAGTAACCAGGCTTCCACTTTCCTCAGGGTCCTGCACTCAGTCATGGCAGCTTTAGGTATCTAAATTATGTTTACTTGTGTAATTTGGTCTTTGGGTAACTAGGAATATTGTCTTTGACCTTTTGGCTTGCTGTGGGACATTCCAGGTAGCTGGGGTACTGCAGTGAGATGGCAGCTTTGCTTTGCTCCGTGGGCCAGCTCTCAAGCACAGATGGCCAACAGGTTCCCCTCTCCACAGCAGTTTCTGCAGGAACACGTAGTGGTCGAGAAAGGATGGATTTGCTGCTCCCATAAACGCTCTGTAGAAGCCAGTGTAGTGTTTTCCTGTGTACATGGGGGTTTTAACATTCTCACACCACCAGGGAGGTGACAGTGATGTGAAAGCAGGTGCCTGAGTCCGTAGTTCAGTCCCACAAGACCTGAGGGTCGTGTTTGTCTCTCAGGGAGCCCGTGGTACCCCACTGACTTGCAGGAGGGGGTGGTGGTTGCCTGCTGACGGATCCATTCTTTGTTGCAGTGCGGTGGTTTGGCCCATCCTGCAGTGAGGAACACCAGGGCCAGACAGACGAGTACCACAGCAGGACTTTGTCGCAGGGGCGGCAGGCGGTGACGAGCCAAGAGATGGAGCAGTTCTTCCTTGACTACATCAGGCAGAAGCAGATCGCAGAGGGAAACCTTCCTGACACGGGGGATGAGGAGACAGGTCAGTCCTGTGTGTGGCTGGAGAAGAGTACGTCCAGCTTGGAGAAAGACAGGGACCTCGGAGGTGTCCTCCTGTTGGCTGGGGCCTCGGGAGCGGGCTGAAGGCCTGGCACAGTCCTGGCAGGCTCAGACCTGCTCCTGTAAGGTGCTGCTGGGTGCTCTGGCTTCGTTCTGTGCATGGGGGCAGAGGCAGTGAAAGGTTTGCAGCTCGAGGCTCCTCCGGCTCTAGGACGCTAAGCACACTTTGTTTTTCCTTACCCCATAACAGGCCATTTGGGCTCAGGACCCAAAGTTTCCTCTTTCCTGAGTCCTGCTGTATTCTCCTCGCCCTCCCTTGGGAATCCCTCTGCCATTTTCTTCTGGCTAATGAGGCCACCACTCCCTTCTCACTTGGCCTTGACAGGCCCTGCAGACATTTGTATAGGAACTTTTTAGTCTTTTCTGGGCTATGCTGCAATCCTGACCTTTAAATACTTCATCTTTAAATACCCAGGCTTTTCACTTTTAATAAAAATCAATGGGAAATAAGTCCATGGTGGGGAGAGACTGCAAATGTCAGACCAGCTGCACTGTCCAGCAAAGAAAGCAAACCTTCCCTAGTCCCACACTGTTAACTGGATCCGACACTCCACTTGCAGAGCTCGAGTGTAGACTGGACTATATCTGAACACGTTAAAAATGCCAAAGCCCTCACTTGGGAATATGCAGAGTAGCGGTGGGTGGGGATTGTCGTCCTGGAGCTCCCAACTCATTTTAATGGCTTCAGTAATGGTTTTGTCTTCCAGATGAGGTCCCCCCTCTTGCAAACCCGGAGCTGAACGCCTCTGACACGGAAGGAGAGGCTCCGCTGCCCAGCCACGCTCAGCTGGCCAAGGATGTGATGGGGAGGTGCATCCACTTGCTGTCTGACGGGAGCCTCCGCGTGCGCCTCAAGGTTGGTGATGGCAAACGCCGGCGTTGAGGGGACGGGTGGTGCCGTGAAGGGGGCTGTGGCTCAACAACACAGTGCACGGTGCGTGCTGGGGGTCCGGCCGTGATGAGGTTGGTGCTGCCGTACGCTTATGCAGGACCCAGCCTCCAAACCTGGCAGGAGAAAGGTGGAGTTTCTGCGAGCAGCCAGGAACGGCAGCCAGGCTGAACAGAATCATAAGGGCGGCTTCGTATCCCGCACCTTCCCTTGGTGCTCACGATAGCGGAGTCTTGTGCCTCAGCCCTTGATCGAGGAGGCAGAAGCTTATGAGGTTGGTGCTGCCGTACGCTTATGCAGGACCCAGCCTCCAAACCTGGCAGGAGAAAGGTGGAGTTTCTGCGAGCAGCCAGGAACGGCAGCCAGGCTGAACAGAATCATAAGGGCGGCTTCGTATCCCGCACCTTCCCTTGGTGCTCACGATAGCGGAGTCTTGTGCCTCAGCCCTTGATCGAGGAGGCAGAAGCTTCTTTCTCCCATCCCCCTGCCTCAGACTGAGGAATGTTTCTGAAGTTGCTGGGCTGGTGATAAGCAGGACTAAAAGCCTGGGTTGTTTTAATTATGAAAATCCTTTGAAGGTGGCCTCCTTTTAAACTGCAAAGCGAGACAGAAAATGCAGCAGTGAGGCATAACCCAGATTCTTTCCGCAGAGGCCCCAGCCCTGCCAGGTGATCCTGCTGCCGTGCCACGGGAGCGGGAGGTCCTAGCGCACAGCTCAGCTGGGAATCGCGCCCTGGCTGCAGCCCGGCTCTGTAGCCCAGCACAGTTGTGTCACTGTGCTGCTTGTCCCTTCCCAGCAGGCCTGTGCTCTGTGCACGGTTCTGTTTTCCCAGTTTGTGCTGAGGTAAAACACCCTTTTGTATTAAGGGTAAAACCATACCCTTTTGTATTAAAACCCTTCTTTCTCCTGGCCCCCTGGCGTGACACCAGGGATCTGCCTGCATGCCTGACGTTGCGGGCACTGCAGCTCTCAGTGTCTGTTACCCACCCCTCCTGCGCAGGTCCTGGACGTGCTGGAGCTCTGCGTAACGGTGCTGCATCCTCACGGAAACCATCTGCTTCCCATGGCTCATCGCGTCTGGCCAGCTCTCGTCACCCGGCTTTCTCCTGGCCCCCTGGCGTGACACCAGGGATCTGCCTGCATGCCTGACGTTGCGGGCACTGCAGCTCTCAGTGTCTGTTACCCACCCCTCCTGCGCAGGTCCTGGACGTGCTGGAGCTCTGCGTAACGGTGCTGCATCCTCACGGAAACCATCTGCTTCCCATGGCTCATCGCGTCTGGCCAGCTCTCGTCACCCGGGCTGATTAGCGATGACCCTCTGGCAGTGCTCAGAGCCTTCAAGGTACGGCAGCCAATCTCTGCCAGCAGCCTTCAAGCTGGTGCTTGGACGGCGAGCGGCTCAGGCAGCGCTGCGGCCGTGAGAGAGGCCCTCGGCTTGTGGAGTGATTTTTAATGTGGTTCAGAACACAGGGTCACCACCCCGCAGTGGGTCGGCTTGTACCGCTCCCACCGCAGCTTGTCCACAGACAGGGCCTTGACACAGCTCCTGGGGAAACAGCAGCATTGGTGGCTGTTGTAGGGAAGAGGAAAACTGTTCTTTTACAGCTGTCAGAGGCGCTGAATGGTGCAACCTGCCCTTGCTGGAGCCAGTCTCAGCACCCCCTTTGGCAGTCTCAGACTGATGAGAAGGGTTTGTTTTGTGACTGGGGCACTGGCAGGGGAGGGAGAGGTTAAGCAGAGACTCATACCAGCGCTGTTAAAGAGCTCCTGACCATGTCAGCTGGCTGCATCTCTTCCTGATGATGACTTGGACTATAAATCACGTTTCCAGAGGCTGCCAGTCCTAAGGTGTCCCAGGGCTTCCTCTGCTGTGCAGAACAAGAGTCATTTTAGAATCCTTCAGGGTGAATAAAACAGTTGTGATTCCCAAATTCAAGAAGCCATACTAGAATTTCAGAGTAGCCATACCTCCCGTGTGCCTGCCCTAAAAGGAGGGGGAGATCACAACACAAAAACTTACTGGTTCTTGAAAATTTCAAGGGATCAGTACAATCAGCACTGAGTCTGGGTTTTGTTACAAGAAATCCTGTGTCTTCCTTCCCAATTCTCAGGGCAGGAAGCGTAGTGTCAGCGTAAGCCAAACATGACACCACCACCTCAGTCGGGCACACAGAGACCACGAGCTTGGTGAGGCTCCAAGAGAGCCCTGCTCTGGCCATGGGGTTGGTCCCATGGATCCCCCCTCATTTTCAGCCATATTTAAGGCCACTCTAGGCCAGTCTGGTTTTCATCCTGGGCACACACCAGTAGTGCTGGTGCCCTGTGCTGTCGCCAATTGGCCCCTCTCTTTGCTGACACGTCTGTAAAGATGGGCTGTCTCCACCTGAAAGGTGATTTATATTTTAATGGCATTTTCCATCAGAGGCTGCTCTAGCAATTCCAAATAAAACTTCACAAGCTGCTCTTCCCTCTGCTGTGCTGATGAGAAGGGCAGCCCAGGGCAGTTATCCGTGTGAAACGCAGAGCAGGGTGCAGGTCACTCTGCATCGAGCATTCTCCCTCTGCTCATGATGGGAAACTGGCAGGGGGTTCACGTTGCTCTCAACTGCAAAAACGTGATCAAGGGAGAACAAATGCTTTCTCCCCACGCTGGTGAAGGTTGCTGAGCTCCCAGACCCATACCTGCACTCACCCCAGTAACTGGTGTTTCTCCGCTAGGTGCTGTGTACCCTGGCTCAGAGCTGCGGGGACTTTCTGAGGCAGAGATTCTCCAGGGATGTCCTGCCTAAGCTGACCGCGTCCCTCCTCAGCCAGGCCCCAGTGAGCGCCAGAGCCGGGCCCGTGTACAGCCACACGCTCGCCTTCAAGCTGCAGCTGACTGTGCTGCAGGGACTGGGGTCTCTGTGTGAGAAGCTGGACATGGGTGAGTACCAGGGAAGGTGCAGGGTGTATGAGGTCTCTGCCAGACTTACCTCTCCTTTCATCTCAACTGACCTTATCATCCTTCTGCTGCCCCATGGAGCTGATGTCCTGATCTTCTCCAGCCTCATCATGTTCAGGTCCTGCTGGACCTTGATCTCTCTTCTTTGGGAGCTCTGTATGGAGGGGCCGGTTGCTCTTTGCTCCCCAAGAGACAAATGAGACAGAATATTCCCAGCACCTTGCAGAATCTGCCTGCTCATCTCCCTCATGCATGAGAAGTGGGTATAAAGAGGAGTGCCTGGGGTGCTGCAGGTAGGGCTGTTGGGCCATGCTTTGTTCTTCGTCAGCTGAAGAACAGGAGCCCAGGTGAGGCTGACCTGAGTGGTTCCATTTTGGGGCATCTCTCTGGGCGACCCTTTAAATGCAGCACATCAGATTCCACTGAGCGAAAGTCTCTGGAATTCACCTAGGTTACATTTCTGGAGCCGACTTTGATGAGGGAGAAGGTTTGCTGGCTACTCACTCTTTTCCTCTCTCAGTGCCCTTGATTGCTTTCCTAGATTTGCAGCAAGGTGCTTGAGAGGTGAGGTCAGAAGAGCTGTGGGTCAGACAGTTCAAAGGCTCCGAAGCCTCTTGCTGCCAATTTAGAGCCGATGCTGTCAGGCAGCAGCCGCTGTGTAGGTTACCTCCTACCCTTCTCCTCTGTTCCGTTCCTGCAGGCGAGAGTGACCTGAATAAAGTGGCAGATGCCTGCCTGATTTACCTCAGCGCCAAGCAACCCCTGCGACTGCAAGAAGCTGCCCAGAGGTAATGTCTCTTCACTGCAGGTGTGTCAGGTGTACAGATAGCGTGGGCAGAGGGAGCACGGTAACCCCTTTCCTTTGGCACCTTCCCCACTCCTCCCTCCAGCACGTTGATGTCCTGTCAACAAGGAAGTGAACCCTTTTCTCTGGTGGAGAAAGTATCATTTACTACCCACAACGAGCTGGAGAGGTTGACTTGCCCTCAAGTTACAGCTGTTCAGATTACCTTGCAGTGCATCTGGGGACAGCCGGGGTAGATGTGCTGCTTGCTTTTTTCTAACTCCTATGCCAGAATGCTCTTGGCCCACTGGTGGCATAAAACCGCAGAGGGGAAGACATCTGTGCAAGACGGGGACAGCAGGGGAAGATCTGCTGCTTGCTTTTTTCTAACCTCTCCTATGCCAGAATGCTCTTGGCCCACTGGTGGCATAAAACCACAGAGGGGAAGACATCTGTGCAAGACCAGGCATTCCCGTGTATTTTATCACTTAACACCTTGTGCAGGCAGGGGATTTACTTCTGTTATCCTTCCGTTCTCCGTGGGCTCCTGTGATCGCTTCATCCAGGTGGACCCCAGTTTGTTTGGGAAGCTGTCAGCCCTGGCACAGCCTTGCTCCAAGAAGGCTGGGAGAGGTTAAAAGAGCACGAGCAGTTTAGGTGAGCACACATCATCTCTGTGAGCTGTTGACAGACACGCTTTGCTGCTCGGTGCTCAGAGTCCTGGTCAGCATGTTCCTGCTGGCAGGATAAGAAATCACTCTTGGCATGTGTTGTCACCTGGAAACAAGGCCGGAGATCTCGGCAGACAAAACGAGCGCGGTTGCAGAACATGGCAGGGAGTAGGAGCGCCGTGCGTCTCCGTCTCCATCGCTGCTGAAGGCCGGGGTCCCAGGGAGGAGCTCCCTTCCCTTTCACAGAGCACAGCCCCCGGGGGGCGAGGGGCTTTTGTGGGGCTGGGCAGCAGCTCAGAGGGCGAGCGCTCTCAGAAGCTGAGGCTGTGCCTTTGTTTGTGTTCCTGCGGGTGAGAGGAGGTTTATTTTTACCTTGATGGCTTTTGTTGCATCGCAGCAGGCTCCCGGCAGCGTTTGTTCTGCAGAGGGGCTCTTTGCTGTAGGTTTGCGTGCCTTTAGCACAATAAAGCGTTCCTCTGTGTAAGCAATGCTGGAATGGGAAGCAGAACACCGGGATGGAGAGATATTTGGAGTGTTGAGCTTTTAAATCATTAACAAAGCAGCCTGAAAAGCTGCGCAATTTCCCCCCGCGGCAGGGGTGGGGGGAAATACTGAACTAGCCCTGTGATGTGGTACAGCCATTAGAGGCTGTATTGTGGAGCAAGCTCACTGTTTTTAGAGAAAAAGGGCAGCAGAGTTCAGGGCAAGTAACATTTTTCTCCTGTATGTTATTTTTTCTTCTATTTTAAGGGAAAAATGCAACACATTACACTGCTCCCCCCTGCCTTTGATGCACCATACGTTACATACTGCACTGAACAGTGGTCTCAGTGTAGCTGTGTGGTGGACACATGCACACACCGAGGCATGGATCGTGTCTGATACGAACCGTGCACATGGCAGGACTCGTAGGGGTTTTTTGGTTTAGTCCTGTCTGATCCCTGGCCCTGGATGGATGCAAGGTAAACACATCACAGTCACTTCTAACCACAGTGCACATGATGGGAGGTTTCAGCTTGGAGAAGCCAACGTTACTTTGCACCATAGCAGGGATAAGACTCGCTCACTCCTCAGCCGTGCCTCAGTTTCCCTTCTCCAGCTGCTAAGCCACCAGATCCCCATCAGCGCTGGTCCTTGCCCATGTGTGCCTGGAGGCAATCCTGCAAACTGGCACCAGTTGTTGTGTGTAAAGCCCTTTCCATCTGGGCAAGGGCACCGTTATTATCAGGCTGCTATGTGAAAAATCCTGCATTTTAAATGCTTCTAAAAACAGACAGACCAGAGCTAATCTTAGCCACAGCGCGAGTGCCAGCATACGTCACATAACTCAGCTTTATCGCCGCAGAAATCATACAAGGTAAAAAGATGCTCGGCATCGGCTTGCCATATTGATTTACACCGGCTGGCCTCTGCTCAGCCTTTGGTTCCCGCTGCACTGGTGAGTTGTGACCTGCCAACAGCAAGGTCAGGGCTTGCAGAGTCGGCAGCAGCTCCGGGAACCCTGCGCTGACCAGGCAAAGAGGCTGTCGCTATGCAAAGGGCTCAGTGGCCAAGGTGCTGGAGCCACAGGAAAAAAAAAAAAAAAAATAAAAAAAAGAGGAGTTCTGGCCGTCTTCCAGGGATGTTACCATGCCCCAAGGAGGCCGCTTAATCCCATTTATGGGACCCTGTGGTTTTATTAGATGAAGCAGTGGGAGTAAGTGAATTTTGCAGCTGCAGCTCCGTGCAATACTCAACAGGCAAAAATAGACGCTGGGAAAAAAAAGAGCTCCAGCTTGTCTGGGGAGGGGAAAATGGGACAACAGGCTTTGTAACAAGATCGCTGCTGGGAGTGTTCCAGGAGAGGAACATTGTCCACAGCCCGGGAATAACAGTGCTGAAGGGGCTTCGGGAAGGTTGGGGCACATCTGTGCCTTCATTGACAGCAAACCAGGGCCGCTGGGGTGAAGGGAGCAGCCGAGGGGGACATTGGGAGCAAGGCAGGGGGAGATGGACTGAGCTGAAAGTCCCAGCAGGTAATAGAGTGATGAGAAGCTCGGGTTTAAGTTGTGTCATCCCTGACGAGCTTTTCACTTTGGGGGAAAAAACTCTGAAGGAAGAGAGGTTAAGAAATTGCCATTGGCCGATGCCAGCGCTGGACAAACTGCTCTGCATTTTCCCAGCTGAAAGGGGCTGTGCTGAAGTTTGCGCTCGGTTCCTACTGGGTGTCTACAGCCCGTGAAGCTCGCCATTTGGCCTTTCGCTCGGCAGCCTGCATAGGAACAGGGTTGTTTTCCAGAGGCAGAAATAATTCCCACAGTTCTCGCTAGGTCAGTGGGGAGCTGGACCTGAGCGTTCAGCGGAGGCGCACAAGCCACGTCCTTCGCCGGTCACGGCCGTGCCTTTGCTTAGCGCTCGGGAAAAGGCAGGGCACAGAACAGCCAGGCTCTGCCATGTGCCGGAGGATAAGTTGTTTAGCACGAGTGGAACAAATACCAGCTATTTTTGGCTGTTTTTACATACCAAGGTTGATTACGCAGCCTACACCTCTTGGTTTGGTGGGGTCGTTTATTGGGTACTCATTGACAGCCGTCATTCGTGAGCTGAAGCACAGCAGAACCGCCACCTGCAGAGGGCAAAATTCAATAAAATTATATTTAAGTGAAGGAAAAAAAAACAAAAAACAAAGAAAGCAACAACAGAAGACAAACCTGGATTAACCCCAGGATTCCTTGCCATGGAAACAGGTTGCTTAGAAACTACTCCCCCCCCCCCGAGTTAGTTTGAAAACGCAGAAGTCAAGTTGTTGTTTGAGCTGCACAGCACCGGGGCTATCGGAGAGAACCACACGCCTCGGGCCAGGGCAGCGGGGTTCCCTGGGACCAGCGCATCCCCCCAGGGCTGCGCTGCAGCGACTGGAGGAGGCTGCCGGCCGCTCCGGTGCGGATGGGGCTGCAGGCGCCTTAGGAGCAGACACCGCATGCAAAGTCTCCCCTCGTCGCTGTTCAGAGACCTGCGCTGCGGGGAGGCAAGGGGCGAACGGCAGACGGGGGAAAGGAACAACTTTGGGTGCTCACAGACAGCCACAGCGTCGTTGGGAAGGGATGAGGGAGCTTCCTCATGGCTCTGTCTCATTCCTGTGCATTTCCAGGTTACCCATGGCACCGTGTTCCCTCTCAGAGGGATTGCTGCTGCTCTGCGCGGGAAGCGAGCTCACTTTAGGGGTAAAGCTCTTAAAGAGAGGTGCTGACCGCGGTCAGGTCTGGATCTTGTGTGGCTTTTGTAGCGGTGGTCTCTGATTTTAGAGGAGATTTCTGTCCTGTGCTGCTTGGGGGAGCAGCCAGAGCTGACTCAAATCCCCCCAGCTGTGGTTCTCCGTGGCCCCATCGTTTCAGTAGGAGCTGGGGACCCAAAGGTGTGTGGTAGGATTCACTGAGGGCTGGGGAAGCTGACCTGTGAGTTTAGGGGGAGCACAGAGCACTCAGCACCACGCAGGAAGAGGCCTTGCAGCCTGCAGATGTTGCTTGAATTCTGTACCTGGCACAGCCAGAGAAGTTAATCCCAGTTAACCCCAGTTAACCCCAGTGCATTAAACCCCAACACCAACCTCGCCAGCCCGCAGCAAGACCTGGTGGGAAGGAACAGTCGGTGCAGGTGATGCTAATCGACCTTTTGCTCTTCTGCTCCCGGGATCTTCCTGCTCTGCCCCTACAGCAGCTGCAGTCGAGGGGCACACTCAAAAGTCAAATACCCCTTACCTGGGGCATTGAAAGGCAAAGCAAAAACCGTCAGCACAACAAAAAAGCATTAGAGGAAGCTGTCCTTCCTCTATTCTGTTGGTAATGAAGCTTTATTTTCGTTAAAAGATAAAATCCTGCTTTTGGGAGGCAGATAATAAGGATTTGGGATGAGGGGAGAGCTCGCATGAGCCAAAAGCCCTCGGTGCAGCATCACCTTCACCCTGCCCAGCCTGGACAGCGATCCAGAAACACCCTCGGTTTTACCACCTCATGGGCTGACCCCCTCGCTCCCCAGAAACCAGGGAGAGTAGTGAACAAGGAAATCACCCTTTACAGGAGCTCTGCAGGAGCGGTTCCCAGACCACGCCAGCGGTGCTAGCACATGCCAAGTGCTGGAGAGGCAACAGCAGCCAAGAAAGGCTCCCAGTCTGCCCAGTTTGTAGAGGCAAAACCAGAGCTGGCACCCAGCGGGGTCACCGAGCCAATCCGGATGCCTTCTCCTGACTCCCCTTTCTTGCCTCCCTCTTTCCCAAAGCATTTTCCTGCACCTGATGCGCGTAGACCCCGACGGCTCCTGGCTGCTGCTCCACGAGCTCTGCTGCCCGCACCCCTACGAGCCGCCCCACCGCACCCTGCGGCCCGTGGAGCTGCGGGG